GCCACACCCATCTAATCTCCACCCCTTTTTTGTGGCCCCACCCCTCAACCAGCCCCTCCAATGGGATCCTCTCCCGCTAGCACAGCCCCACCCCTCTCCAAGCTCCACCCCTCCCAAACGACCAATAGGACTCTCTCCTCCTAAGGAAAACCACACCCCCTTTTACAAGCTCCTCCCTAACTGGGTCTGAGTCCCCTCCCCTGGCACGGCCACGCCCCTGCATGGCCCCGCCCCCCGCCCCCGAGGCCCCGCCCACCGTAGGTGATCCAGCATCATGCACGCGGCGAGCAGGGCGGCCGTGGGGTTGGCGATGTTGCGGTTGGCGATGCTCTTGCCCGTGTTCCGCGTGGCCTGGGGGGGAAAAACGGGGTGACCCCCACGGCCCAGGGACCCCCCCGGGGCACGGGGAAACCCCCACGCCCGGGGGACACCCAGAAAGGCCCCCCAAAAAATATGGGGTAACCCCCAAAAACATGGGATAACTCCCACACCTGGGGGACGCCCACAGAGACCCCCCAAAAACCTCCTCCAGTCTTCCCAGTGCTCCCAGTGCCCCCCAGAGACTCCTCTATAACCTTCTCCAGTCCTCCCAGTGCCCCCCAGGGATGCCCCCGGGCCTGTCCTAAAACCTCCTCCAGTCCTCCCAGTGTTCCCAGTGCCCCGCAGTGTACCCCAGGGACCCCCCTAAAACCTCCTCCAGCCCTCCCAGTGCCCCCCAGGACCCCACTAAAACCTTCTCCTGTGCTCCCAGTGCCCCCCAGGACCCCCCCAGGCCCCTCCTAAAACCTCCTCCAGTGCCTCCCAGTGCCCCCCAGGACCCCCCCAGGACTCACGGTCTCGAACACGGCGTAGTCGTGGCCGTAGTTGGCCCCCGGGACGAGGCCGGGCCCCCCCACGAGCCCGGCGCAGACGTTGTTGACGATGTTCCCGTACAGGTTTGGCATCACCATCACGTCAAACTGCTGCGGCCTCGACACCAGCTGGGCAAAGGGGGGGGAACTGGGGGTTACTGGGAGCGCCGGGGGGGGTCAGGGAGGGTTTGGGGAGGGGGTTTGGGGGCGGTGGGACGCACCTGCATGGTGGTGTTGTCCACGATCATGTTCTGGAAGGTGATCTCGGGGTACTCGGCCGCCACCTCCTGACAGCACTGCAGGAACAGCCCGTCCCCCAACTTCCTGGGGGGG